AAGGTACAGTACAAGACACCTACACATGGAATTTAAGGAAAAGGTGATAAATAGCCTGTGATAAAATCTGAAACTGAAGGTGATAGGTGAGTACAAATTCCATATTGCATTTCAAAGAAAGAGAAATTATTCAAAAACGTTTATTCGTTGTGTCTCCTTTGAGCCAAAAGGTACCCATTAACTAGAACATGCTGTCAGTTGTGAGCTCTTTTTACTGTCAATAACTGTCATATAAGATACATTAGTTCTCTTGCAGACACTTACCCCAGGAATTTTATTCATACTACAGTTGTAGGTAGCACTATTATGAGAGAACACGCCTGGGCCACCTATTAAATAACACACATCTTCTTTAATACAATCGTTATCACTTTCATGATCCAGTGAAGTAAATGACCAATCCAGTGAAGTAAATGACAAGAAAAAGTGCAGCCATCTTGTCTGTAAGAGAAAGTAAGTTCTTGTAGGAATGGGATTGCATTGTATGGACCCAAATACACAAAAAAGGTACAGAAAAGCTTTAAATGTAAACTGAACCAGTGTCCATACCTGAATTCTAAACAGGGAGCAGGTTTGAATTGATCCTGACTTTAAATTGGATTAAGCTGAACACATTTTAGAAAAGCTTACATTTTGTGGAATCATATTGTTGTGATATGAGGAATTTTAATACCTAGTAGCATTGATCTATGGTGCTGGAAATTCAAAATGTTTATGTGGAAGTTCACATTTTAGCTGACAGATTCTTCCTAGCCTTTGTCTGAGTTTGAATGTGAGCTTTCCTGAAAACTGATATGAGGTTTGTTCAAAACTAGCTAAAAATAAGTAAGTTAAATGAAAGGTGAAAAAAATCTCTTATCACTTATCTTATTTTAAACTTAAGGATTATTTTCCTTTTCATGCTACCTCAGAAAGGGACAGAAAACATGCATATTTTGCTCTCCCTTCTCCTAGCCTATTCTTTCAAAATCAATTTTTTTACCTGTGTTGTAGGAGAAGTGATGCAATCATAAAAATCAGGCCAATTTTTCCCAGTACATGTAATTCCTGCTAAATGATTTAAAACTGGAGATTAACCTGTTTTTAAAAGTACTAACTAGTAAAGACAAGGAATGATATAAGAAAGAGGGCATCTTGAATCTTACAGGAGAAATCAGACACAAGTTAGCATCTAAGAAATATATATTTTTAAGAGTCGTGGTAACAATCTAAACAAATGGGTTTTTCAAGCATGATTTGGTGTTAAATGTGCACACACAAAACAAGTTTCTTCAGTGATGAGAAGAATTCTCTTCTTCCTAATCCTTTCTGCCATATTGGCTGGGTTGGAGCTAAGGATGTGTAACAGTGTGGTGTGGATGACATTCTCTTAACAGTACTTTTTCTGGTTTTTTAATATTTTTGATTTTGTGTGTGTTGTGCCTATTTCCTGGAGCACACAGATTTCAATTTTTGGCTTCTAGTTTCCATAGTTTGGAAGAGGATGAGGCACTACTAAGCAAACCTAACTCCCTTTTAACAAAGTTTTTATTAGTGATACTATAATATGGTTAGAGGTTAAAGCACTCTGAGCATTTTTGTTGTTAATCCTTAAAAAAATAACGTTCTTGTTCGAGGTTACATTTTACATCATTCTGAATCTGTTTTAATTGTCCTTAAATGGCCAAATTTACTAGACTTTCTCACACCAACAGTTCTGAATAAGTAAAGCAGACTATTCAGGTGAGTTATGCAAGAATGGTTTGCCATCTATTGGATCTAGGTAGGGATGGATTTGGGCAAAAGTAAAGTAATGTCTGTTTTCTGAGTGTCCTTATCAAAATAGAAGATGCCCCCCTGAGGTCTACCTTACATAATGCAAGGCTATGTTTGCAGTTCTAAATGGCTTATTTTATCGGAAATAATGGTAACCATAGTGAGAAGATTCTCTGTTGGGGTAAAGCAACAGGTCTGGCCCAGTTTCAGCAGTAAGAAAATGTTGATAGAGAGCCTTGCACATGAGCTTCTACAGGAGTGAGAAGCCACTAGCTTGGCTTCTAGCAAAGAGATATGCTGCCCTTAAGCATGACACTCGATTAGCATCTCATATATTGAGTCTAATGTAATTATTTATTATGCGTGTGTGTGTTCTTAAGGCACAAAGGGCTATCAGCTGTCTAACTCACATGGATTATATCCTTAATAGTTGGACACCTAACTGCCCCTGAACATCTTTTCCTACAGTCAATCCCTTTTTAGGCCCAGATAATATACGTGACTGTTTGACTTTCTGTGCTGGTAGAGTCCCTATGCTGACTACAATGCTGTGTGAAGAAATATTTGTTATTATTTTTCATGTTATGGACTGTGCACAAAGGAGGGACCAATCATTGTTGTGATTATATTCCCCACACCCTCACATGACTTAATGAAACTTCCTGTGGATTTACTTTTCAGAGTCAAATAAGTGCAGGCGAGGTTGACACCCCTCAGTCTCTTCCTTAAACCCTGCTGGATTTCTTTAAAAAAAAAAAAGGTAATTGTTTTAGTCTGGGTCCTTTCAATCTTGGCTATACAAGCTTTAATAAAGTATGGTGGACAAGCTGGTAATGGGTTACAGGGGATGGATCACAGTCCTTCTGAAGTAACCTGCAATGACCAATGTCAGAAGACAGGATACTGGGCTAAATGGACCTTTGGACTGACCAAATGTGGCCATTCTTATGTACTTATGACAAAATCAGACATAATTATGCTACACTTCGATTCATAGCCCACTGAAGCCAATGGAAAGACTCCAGCTGACTTAGGATCAGACTGCAAATGGGAGGTTACCATTTTTTTCAGCGTAATGTCCTCCACATTTTGAGAGGATGTTAAGAGACCTTCTATGAAAGCTCTGCTTACACTGCAGAGGGTAATGTAGGGTTCCTAATGAAATTGTCCGATCACATGACTTCCAAATGTGATGTCCTTTGCTGTGGGAGAGCTGGACAGATCCTAAGGTAGACTGTACTGTATTGTTAATTTAAATTACAGTGAAACAAGCTCTTTGGTCTCCAAAATCATTGTGTTTTTCATTGTTTGAAGTCTCTTGTCAGACTCAGCCAGTCTCAGAAAAAGCTTTTAAGTAGCTCTTTGCTTAGTCTTGAGTAGGTAGGCAGGGAGAGAGAGTGAAAAAAGACTACATTCAGAGAATCTATTTTTCTCTTTTTTGTGTGTAGTGTGGGGAAGATCGAAGACTTAGCAATAAAGTTGTTTTTTCTTTGAAGACCAGACAAGGAAGAAAAAAGTCTTGGTCCATGAGTCTGTGAACACATCTGAAACAGTTTTATGTGGAAAAACAGAGGGAGGAGACTAAAGACCGAATCTATTATAATTGTCACACTTCAGTATTTTTCTCTTTTTGAAGATGTAATTTTTCTCCAATAACAACTTTGCCCTCTACAGGACTTTTCATTCAAGATGTCCACATGCTTCCCAAACCTGAATGAAGGAATACAAAATCTCCATAAATACATGTGTTTGACAAACAAAGAAAAAGCAGTTGCCTGTCATAGTGGCTTTTCTTTAGCTGTCTGTAGAAATAACCGGGTTGTGAGGAGTAAGGGAAGTCATCAGGACAGTTTCTCCTATTGGCCTCCCACAGTGGAGACACTTCAGAAATTCAGCCTAAGATACATCAACTCCAGCTACGCTATTCTCGTCGACTTAGGTTGACTTTCTCTGCTAGTGTAAAACTGGCCTTAGTATTTTAAAATTAATGGAGATTGCCTATCTCCTAGAACTGGAAGGGACCTTGAAAGGTCATCAAGTCCAGTCCCCTGCCTTCACAGCAGGACCATGATGTACCATCCCTGACAAATTTTTGCCCCAAATCCCTAAAAGGTCTCCACAAGGATTGAACTCACAACCCTGGGTTTAGCAGGCCAATGCTCAAACCACTGAGCTATCCCTCCCTTTGCTGCTCTGTGTTTATTACTTTCTTTTTATTTCTGTGGAGCTAGATTCTGACCAAAACACCTAAAAGCTTCCCTAAACAAGAGCTTTTAGAGATTTTCAGGCTGAGTCATATCACATCAGCAGTTCCACACACACATTACAATGGTCTACATCATAAAAATAAAACATTTGTGCAATTTCACAGTAGAAATGTTAGTTGCACCTGTATAATACAGAGAACAGGAAGAGAAAAAAGCAATGAGACGTGGGCAAAAATACTGTTTTTCCTAAACTATACCACATGTGTAAAGGGGATTGCTAATGCCAGGTTGATGACAGGTGTGACAGAGGAAAGATTAGAAGTAAAAGGGTGTGCTGGGAGTGGGCAAAGCAGGCTGCTGTTAACGTTGACCCCGTGCTATGAATGCGTGTGCAAGCTGAACTCTGAGGACAGCAGATGACAAAAAGGATTGATGCTTTTAGTGCTATTGCTGAATACTGAGTGTCATTGACAAGAAGAGTGATGAGTTGAATACAAGAAGAATGTGTAGGAAGGTGTTTGTTAGAGAAGATTAAGAATTTAAAAATAGAATACGTTGGGTGTACATATATCACAGAGAAGCAGGGATGTTTGCGGACAAGGGTACTGCAGAGGAATTGGTGCCGTGGGATGAATTGGAGTGCACAATTAGAGGTGGCTGCAAGGAAAGTTTTCAAGATTTAAATCATTTGTTGCTTCTGCATCACTTTTCATTCCTGTAGGACTGTATCTGCCATCCAGAGATCACAGAGCACATTTATAGACATTACTCAAGACATGAAGCACCCTGTGAGAAAGGTAAAGTGTTACCAAAGATCCTTTTCACAGTCCATTGAAAAGCAGCCATGTCTGGTGTAGAATGCTGCAGCTGGTTGACAGCACACAACCATGATACACAATGGTTTAGGATGAGGCGTGAGGAGTACTATATCTGAAAGACTTGACTGGGAATTAAAAGTAGTTAGAATATGTCCTGGACACCAGAATTCGCCCCTCTACTCTCATAAAAAGTGCTTCTGTTGGGTATTAAAGGTCCTGTGTTTGATCTCTGCTGATGATTGGTGGGATTTGTTATGTCCACATGTCTCTTTCTTCCATTTCTTAAAAGAACTAGGGATGTTAAATAGTGGTTAGTAAGCTAATTGAGTAGTCAATGGAATTTCCATCGACTATTTGATTAGTTGATAAGGCGGTTCGCTGTGCCCCAGGCTCTTACTACATTTAAAAGGCAGAGCTGCAGTGGTCTGGGACCGGACATGAGCTGGGGCAGCTCAGTCCCGGCTCTCGACAGGTTCCAGACCACTGCTGCTCTGCCTTTGAAATGTAGTAAGTCATTTGTCTTAGACACCAGATGAGTTAACTAGGGGCCAACGTTAATAGCAGCCTGGCTTGCCCACTCCTAGCACACTTTTTTATTTCTAATCTTTCCTCCGTCACACTGTCACCAACCTGGCATTAGCAAACATCTTTACACATGTGGTATAGTTTAGGAAAAACAGTATTTTTGCCCAGGTCTCATTGCTTTTTTCACTTCTCATTCTCTGGTGGCTCTTACTACATTTAAAAAGCAGAGCCACAGTGGTCTGGGACTGGGTAAAAGCCGGGACCGCTGAGTCCCAGCTTGCGCCTGGTACCTCGCTGAGACTCTGCCTTCTCTGCCCCCCTTAGAGATGGTGACAGGGGGAACTTGTTTTTAAGCTGGCTCCCTCCTGAACTGGCTCCTGCTTCCCACCTTGCTGCCTCTGATACAGAGGCAGCAGGTGAGGGGGAAATAACTAGTTGAGTAGTGACTTGACTACCTGATAACCCTTGGTTTATCGGGTAATCGACTACTCAACTAGTCACTTACAGCTGTAAAAAGAATCACATTTAACTACAATTGAACTGCTGCTTTTCCCTCTGGAATGTGCCTGTATGAACAGTATTTCTGTAAATTTATAAATTGTATTGCAATACTTCAGCATGTATGCAAGTGAAGCATTTCTTTCTACCTGCTACAGACATCACATCAATTCATAAGACACATAAGACATAAGTTCAAAGACTTATCATGTACCTTACACTGCTAGTGTAACCCACACACCTACTGGATGTATTTCACTGTCCCATGTAGGGGCACTAAGACCACTTACAGAGAGAGAGCACGAGTTTGCTCTCTAGCGGTGGTTCTCAAAGTGTGGTCCGTGGACCACTAGTGGTCCATGGCCATCTGGCAGGTGGGCCATGAGCTTGTCTCTACCCTGCAGTGTGGCACCCGTGCTGGCACTCCATCCTTGTCCCTCCCAAAGTTGGAGCGCCAGCTTCCTGCTACGGGGGAGAGAGGGCCTCATGGTCCAGATCCAGGATGCAGGGAAAGGAAGCAGCTCTCCATGCTGCCACTCCTCCCTCCAGCTGGGGGAACTGCAACGTAGGAAACTGTTTGCCTGGAGGTTTTTCCCACTGCTCCTATTGGCCAGAATTACAGCCAATGGGAGCAGCAGGGGATGGTGCCTGAGAAACGTGGGAGGCACAGAGTCAGGTAAGCACCCCCTCATATCTCATGTCCAGACCACACACTCTGCTCCTGCACCCTACTTTCTTCCCAGACCTCCTACCCTCAGCCCACTCCTGCACTCATTTTGTCATAGTGGGTGGTTGGCTGGTGGTCCATGGAAAGGTCTGCATTGTACAGGGTGGGTTTCAGGCCAAAGAGTTTGAGAACTAGCCTGAACTGAGAGCCAGCTGGCTTTTAGCTCAAGTGGCAGAGGCTTATGCATTAAGCTCCAGAGGTCCCAGATTCAGTTCTGCCTATCAGCATTACAGAAACAGCTAAAGAAGATTCTCCAGTGTTGCCTGTGCTTTTGAAGGAATGTTCTGATACTGCTATTCCTGAGATCCTCCTAATGGCTGTGTGTGCAGCATAGTGTCAATCCTGAAACCTTTACTGTGTGTGGCTACAGACTTGTTTCAATACTACACTTGCTGGGTGAAATTCATCACATTTTTAAGGGCTGGCACAAGGTTTTCTACAACATGTAAGCACTAATGATGGGACTACATGTGTGGAGACACCAGTTTTCTCCCCTGCTTTGCCTCACCAAGATGTTCTCCTCACCATCTCCATATATGCCAGGGTAGAGGCGGTGTTGGAGGCAGTCCAAGGGCTGACAAGGAATATGAAGGTGCATCCAATGCAGGCTGCAAAACTAGGCCAGAAGGGGCTGCTGTTCTAGTCAATATGATGGAGTAGTGACAGTGGAGTGTGGTGGTGAGGAAGAGGTTCTTTCATAGCTCCACACCATGACGCCAGCTTGGACAGTGTTGGATCATGCTTCCCGGACCGCTGAACCTGTCTTCCACATAATTTTCACATTAGCATATAATTACGTCTGCACTAAAGGTGCTTCTACACTGTACTGTAACTCAAATTGCATATCTTATTTCGATGCTATTTCAAAATAGCTTATTTTGTCATTTTGCGCTGTCTACACAGCACCAAATTTCAAAATAAAGCCCTATTCCGAAACGTCCCTTACTCTTGGTAGAATGAGGTTTACAAGGATGTCTGAATAGCAAGCCTGAAATAACATAGCTCTGGTATCCCAAAATAGCGTTGCAGTGTAGACGTAGCCTTAGACTGTAAACTCATTGGAGCAGAAACCCTGTCTGTTATCTGTCTGTACAGCACCATTGTATATTTATGGTGCTTAGTCAATAATCATGCTGAGTGAGAAGAATTTCACCCAGTTTCCAAACAAGGTTGGGTGGTTATGCATGATCAAAGGTGTTAAACATTTTTTGAAGGATTAATATTTGACACTGATAGCTACACTTGAGCCCTGTTACATACAGCCATATACAGTTCTTCCCTGAAATGCTTAAGATTTTGAAAACCAAGCAGGCAATACTGGGCTGAACAGCTGGACATCAATTCCTCGGCATTAATTCTGTCACAAATCAAATACTTTGGAACAAAAGTCTTGTCACTAATCGTTTTTTTATTATGTAGAAAATGCAAATAATTCAATGCGGCTATTCAGTGTCGTTACAGGAGATGTTTTAAAACAGAATAATTAGCTGCAGTACTAAGTGTTAATGACAATTAGTTTCCATCTACCAGTAAGGGCTCAGCTTGTACCATTGACATTAATTATTCTGTTGTGGCTAATTGACTTGCAAAATCATTAAATGATTCCTTTGTTGCACAATATAATATGCAAAGTGTGTGCTTGATAGAAACACAGCCCTAGTTGTCATCTTATTATCGCTACAGAGAACTTTCTTTATACCAAGACGCTGATTTACTGTGGTGTATGTTCAAAAGAAGAAATTCAGAGTGCAGTAATTTTTGCAAACATTCTCACAATGAATGAAAGCTGATATAGCTAGTGCATTTCCGGCTGTCACTCATGCATTAGCTGTCTCTCTGTAGACTGCGAAAGTAGCTTGTTTTGTTTTGAAACCTGCAAATTGAAAAATCCACATCTGTCCATCCTCATTAAGTCTAAAATGAATATATTCTGAATTACCTCTTTTTAACAAAATCTATTTCAGGCATTTAAATATCTCTCATTATTGTAATTTCTGATGATCTTTAATGTATTTGTCCTCACAACACTGCTGTGAGGTAGGAAAGAAGTATTATCTATGTGAGGAACGGAGACACAGAGAGACTAGGGGTGGATTGCTTACAGGGAGTTAGACTCCAGTTCAAATTATTTCCATGTTAGTCCCTTGGTTTGAGTAAAACTTCCTACAAGATTCTGAAGGCTCAGTTTATCCTGAATACATGCAGTATATTCTTCTCTTGTATTAATA